CCCCGCCGGCGAGCCAGGCGCGGAGCGGCGAGGGGTGTGCGAGCCAGCGGGCGCGAAGTCGGGCCACAGCGCGCAGCCAGAAGCGCCGGGCTCTTGTGGCCGAGCGGGCAGCTCCCGGCGCGGGCACTGGCACGGGCTCTGTGCGATGCTGCGATCTGCCTCTGCGGCCCGAGGGCTGAGCCCGGCTCCCTTCCTTCCGATCCCCGCGAGGGCCGACCCCCACCCGTGGTCCTCCCAGAACTGCCCAGCCGGGCCTCGGCCGCCTCGCTGCGAGGCGCGAGTTAGCCGGCACCTGCCCCGCGCTCGCCCATTGGCCGCGGCTCACCTGCCCCAAGGTGGGGGGCGGGGCGGGACGGGGCGGGGCGAGGGACGGCGGGCGGGGAAGGAGCCCGGAATCGCAGGCAAAAGCCGGACTGGAGCCTTTGCCGGGCTAGCTAGGACCCCTTCCCCTAGCCACTGGTTTCTTCCCTTGTCCCTCCGCTTTCGCTCTGAGTCTGACCGCAGTCGTCCGAACCCAAGCGGGAGCTGGAGGAGGTGTCCGAGGGGCCTGCGGCTCAGGAAGACACTCCAGGCCCCTGTCCCCTGTCTGTAACTCAGTTGAACCCTATCCCATTGGTCCCGGGACGTTTCAGTTCTTAGACAACCTGGATCCGAGCGGAGGGTGGGTGTCTGGGGCCTGACAGATGGGTTCGCCCGAGAACCAGCCCCGGCTCGCCTGGCCTTTGGAATCCTCCCGGCTCTGCACTATCCGCCTCCTGAGCCGCCGGCAGAAATCGCGGCCTTGTTCGTGAGGTTTCACGTTGTCTGGATGTCGTGAGGAACTCAGCTCTGGAAAGGGGACGCTCAATTCTTTTCACACGGGGCCCAGCCGGGGACAGCGCGGGAGGAGCCTGCGAAGCAGCCACCCTGCCACCTTCTGGCCTCAAGCCGCAGTTCGCGGGCCTCGGAAGCTGCCCCTTTGCCCAACCACGGCCGCAGCGGCCGCTCAGACCGAAAGGGCGGGCCTCAGAGCAGGGCGACCTGCTTTCCTTGCCTTCTCAAGCGTCGGGGGTCAAGTGCCCGCGGGCCAGGTCGGGGCCTCGGGGACACCGTGCCTTAAATTGGAGCTGGCGGCGCAGCCCAGGCCAGTCCTGAGCGGGCACGCCGGCCGTCCCGGGGACTCAGCGGCCGTCTGGCCTCCCCCGACCTTCACCTTCCAACCACGGCCGCGGAGCAGCCAGCGATTCTGCCGCAGCCAGTTTCTATTTTGTGCGCTAATTCCAGGGGTGAGACGGCGGTTGGTGTTGAGAACCAGTACTCCGCCAACTTTGCCACTCGGGCCTTGGCAGGCCGCTGCAAAAACGCCGCTCCGAGGCCCTGCAGGGCGCTGGCAGTGGTGGGGAGGCCAGGTCTGGACCCCTGCAAGCGCACCGCAGGGAGGGGACCGCCGCGCGCTCCGCTTCCTCGCCGCCGCCAGGATTCGTCAGAGCGGGCAGAGCCGGGCCCTGCCGCCCGGAGGCCAGGGGTCTGTGCGCCTCGCGGCTCTGTGGGGATTCCAGGCCGGGTCTTGGGAGTGACCCGCCTGAGCGCCAGGAGCCTTGCTCCGCGAGAGCGCTCCGAGCGCCCCGGTCGCTACAAAGCGGGTTGAAGTCTATTTTCCACTCGACTGCGCCGAAAAGCCACAGCGCGCCTGGGTTCCGGCCCCTTTGGGCTGGGGGCGGGGGCACCAAGAGGGGAGGGGAGGCGATCTCACCCTGCCGCCCTTCGGTTCCGGGGCAGCCCAAGCCAAGCACCGCGGAGGCGCCCCAGAAACGTGTGTGGAAACAATTTTTACCCGATCCGTGGCCAGCGCCCGCGTCTCTTTCGCGGTCTCTCCGGAAGTTTCTGCCTGTCTGTGCTGGTCTCTCCCTCCCTCCCCGTGTCTGTCTCTATCTTCCCCTTCCCCTGCCTCCCTGCTTCCCACCCTCGACTTTTCCCTCTCCTTATCTTCCTCACTCCTCCTTTGCCCCATCCTCAGTCTTGGAAAAAGGGAAGCGCCGCTAAATGGGAACAAGGTCCTGACCAGGCCATATAACCAAGGGAGGGAGTGGGGAGCTGGTCAGAGGCATAGAGGAGAGAAAACGGAAAACGGAAGGAGATGGCAGGGGATTTTGTTGGAGCAAGGTTCTCGCAGGGACTGGGCTTCCATTGGGTAAACATTGTCGGGGCCTGAGCTCCTCGGCAACAGACCGCGTGCTGGAGCTGCGACGGAGAAGTCGGGAAGCAGAGCAAGTTGAACCGGGCTGCAGGGCTGTGCACTGCTAGCCCGGGGGCAAGCCCCACCTGCCAGCGTAGGCCCGAGCTCCTCCTCACCGCGCGAGGCTGGCCAGTGGAAGCGAACTCGCTAAACTGGGCATGTAGAGGAGCTTGGTATCTACCCGACCATTCCTAAACTTAACACTAACCACATCGACTTTCACTCGTGTGGTTATGGGAATACCTGTTTGTATCTAAATCAATAGACCTTTATGTATATTGACAACACCTACCCTTGATGCGGTTCTTTCGAAATACATGGACATTCAACTGTCATTAATCTCCTTTTACAGATGAAGAAACAGACCGCAGAGGATCAGTGACTTGATTCTGGTCACGGTCTGGGTTGGTCTTTAACACAGTTGGGACAGCCCATAGGCAGCCCTGGCCAGGCTCAGGTTCCACCCCCATCCCATCCCACCCCACCCTCGCTGTTGAAGCCAGCAGACTCTTCCCAGACAGGGCGTAGCCCGGAATGGGGATAGGATGCAGGAGATGCGTTGGGTAAGGGGAGTTCCTACCCCTCTACCTTCATCCTCCCTCGGCTTTCCCTCTCCCGCGCCCCTTTCTCTCTCCAACGCCCCTTTCTCTCAATTTCCTCTCCAGTATTCACTAATCTTCCTCCTTCTCTCCTCTGCAGATATTTCTCTCTTACCGGCGCTTTCCTCTATTTCCACTTTTCTTAGGGCTTCTTCCCCTCTTCTCCCTTCCCCTGCAGGGGCTTAAGAGGAGAGTGTGCCACCCACAGGCATCTCTAAGCCCACTACTGTGTTCTAGATCCAACGTCAATGCCCCGCTCTCCCCAATCTCTTCTTGTGCCCTCTCCCCCGTCCCTCCCAAACTCTCACACTTCTCTCTAGCCTACCCCCTAGCTGATCTAGTGCACAAATGCCTCCTTTCCACCCCAGGTCTGGGTCAGCTAGCTGCCCACCTTACCCAAACCTTGTGCCCCTCTGCCCCACCTCTGTTCCCAACTCTCCCTCTCCTCCATTCCTGTCCACCGGCCCAGGCTGCTGAGCTGTGCCAGAGACCTGAGGCTGACAGTGCCTCCCGCTGACTGGAGTGCCCTACCATCTGGCACACCTCTGGACTGCTTATTCTTCTCTCTGCACCTGCCTCCCCTTTCCCAGATTTCTCATCTCCCACAGCCTAGCCCCTCACTTTCTGCAGAGGATCTGGTTCCACATCATTTCCCCGCCCTCACTCATCCCTAGATAACCTGAGCTCAAATCTCGGCTCTTCCATTTACTAGTGGTGAGAACTGGGGCAAATGACCTTCACTTGCATATCTGTGAAATGGCAAGCATTACACCGGATCCCTGTGAAGATTAAATGAGATAACATATGTGCTGCAGAGGACCAATGCCTGACTCCTAAGAGGCACTCAGGAAATGGTCTTTGCCTTTGCCCATGCTGGAACTTTGGAGTTTGTTCTTAACTCCTCACTCTCCCTCATCCTCCACATTCAACCAGTCTCTCAGTCTTGTAGTTAAGTATTTCTCAAGTCTATATCCCCTCCCTTTTGGTTTCTTTGCCTGGCTACCTTCATCCTTTACAACTCAGTTCAGTGTGCTAATCCCCCGGTTAGTAAAGAGAATCTGCTGGCTGGGAATCCTCCCCCACCCCAACACTCTGCCATGGCACTCACCTGCAGGATGGAGTTCTCTGTGTCTGTCTGTCTCCCTCAACAGGTCAGGATTCCTGGGAGAACTGTGAAGCTGTGGTGTCTATCACAACCCCTAGCCCAGGCGCAGGCAATGTTTATCCAACAGAACCCCTGCTCTTGTGGGGAGCTTGGTTCAAGAACACCCTCTGGCCATCTCCCTTTCACCTTTTATCCCCCTCTTTCCCCTTCAATCCTCATGTTTCCCTACCGTACAAAAAAGTTTCCTGTCTTCAGGTCTCCCTCAGTACATTGCCTTTCCTTTTCTTCTTCACTACCAAATTGCTTGAATATTTTTTACTCTCTTTCTAACGATCTTGAAACCTAGCTCCTGTCCCCCACCACCACATTAGGAAAATGGCTTGCAAAAGTTCAAAAACTTTTATTATGGTTGTATTATTGCAAGAGCAATATATACATAAATGGGGATAATAATAAGCACAGTTTTTGTGAGACTGAATGAGTTGTAATCCCCACCCAATGGGCTTAGAGCAGTGCCTGGCACGGTCGTAAGCATTTGATAAACGTTAGCTGCTATTATTTTATAGATCTGTACTGTCCATTATGGAAGCCAGGACCACATGTGGCTACTGAATGCTTAAAATGTGGCTGGTCTGAATTGAGATGTTCCATAAGTGTAAAATACACACCAGATTTGAAAGACTTAGTATTAAAAAAACAAAGAAGGTAAAATATATCATTAATATTGCCTATATTGATTATATATTGTAATGATAAAATTTTGGATATACTGGCTTAACAATCTATTTTGATTATTAAGATTATTTTTACCTGTTTCT